AACGTAACTAAACTAACTAACTAACTAACTTACGTTACTTACGTACTACGTAACGTAACGTACCGTACCGTACCTACTACTACTACTACTACTAACTACTACTCTCTCTCTCTCTCTCTCTCTCTCTCTCTCTCTCTCTCTCTCTCTCTCTCTCATCCATCTAGGGGGCATGCCCCACTTTAGAAAGTCTCTTTCTCATCTTGGAAATCTCTCTCTCAAGAAAGCGTAAAGGGAAACTCCCCACTCTCTCCACCTCTTGGATCTCTCTCTCCCACATTGTGAAAATGGGCTAAGGGTTTAGGCTATGGAGTTCTTCTCTCTCCCATCTCTCAACTATGGATTTATGGCTAAAGGTTCTAGGGTATAGCAAAAGAGAATCCATCACTCTCAAACTAGGTTGCTAAGAGATTTCACCTAGGGTTTGAGTTTGTGATCAAAGGGGTTCACGTTCCATTGGCGTGGCTTATCCAAACTTGTTTTCCCAATTGATATTGAAGGTTAACCATTAGATCACGCACCATCAGAAGATGGTGACTCGGTGCGGGGTATAGGAAGTCTAGTTGAGGTAAACTCCAATACACTCTTTTTGTTTTTTCCATATTTATTTATTATATATTTTATTCCAAGCATAGGTTGTATCTTTTCTTTTGTTAATGACAAGTATGGCTTGAGTGGCTTCAAGTTTTTAAGATCCTATTGTATTATTTTATTTTATTTTATTTTATTTGAAGTTATTCTATTGTAAAACGACTTCTTGTGAGTGATCTAGACCATGAAGAAAAGAAAATAATTGAAAAAAAAAAAAATATTATATATTCCGGCTAGATCACATGTGTCCTTTCAATGGTATCAGAGCTATTGACACTTGATACCATTAGTAGTTTTTTCTCTTGATTTAAGTCTATATCTAGCTTGAGAATGAGATATAAAAAAATTAATGACCTTTGTGGTAAACTAATACACCTCCGGTTGAGAATTATTGGAATATTCAAACACCGAAAATGCACTCTACATAATGGGTATTCTAGGCTATTTTAGAGCAATGATATGAAGAAGATAATGATGTATTTTTCTATTTCATACTCAGTGATAATGTGTGTATTTGAAAGTAGGATCTACCTGCAAAATTTCAATGGGAGATCATAAGGATTGAAAGTTATGGACTCAGCAATAGAGGGTGTCAGTTCTGACCCTGCAAAATCTAGAAACTGACTATTGAGTTCTGTGATTTTTTACACCAACCATATGACCTTTATTTTAGTTTAAATTTTACTGTAACTCATCAAATTGACTTTACTTTCAAACAAAATTAGTTTCATCAAGAAATTCATTGTAATTTGAAAGATATGGTCAATTTATTGAAAGGTGTGCAAGTAATATTTTCTGCAACGAAAATCTATTTTAATGACTTAGAAGTCGTGATTTTATTTCTATTCTTAATATAATGTTTTATGGCCCACACCTGGTTTTTAAACTTTCATCTTAAATCTAGTTTCTAATGAAATTTATTGGAGAGATAAATATCTATGAAAATAGAGGAATAAAAATTTTGGATTGAAAAGAGGTCATCCTGATTTTTCTGCAATTTGATATGTTCTTCATTGAGACATGAATAACTACATTTATGAAGCCTAATTAATAGAGTGATATGAGCCATGTGGAAACATGTGTTACCATTATGTGTCTACTTTCAAACAAAATTGGTTTGAAAGGGAAACTCAATGAGGGTAGAGAGAAAATAGAATTTTACTTGATAG